AAAAAATGTGATCACAAATTAAAAAATTAAAATGGATAAATTTCTCAATAAAATTAAAAAATTCTAATCCGCTAGCGGTTTGGTACAAAAAGCTACATAAACTTGCTTTTTCAATTCGCTAGCAATTTGAACCCTAACTGCTATCCGTTAGTTTCAAACCGCTAAATAAAAATTTTACCAAACACTTTAGTTGTAGCGGTTTTGAAATATATAAATTTACCAAACACCTATATTTAACGGTTTAGGTAAAACCGTTAACCGCTACCCCAAAATCGCTATACCAAACGGGACCTTAATAAATATATTTTTAATTATTAAATCATATTTGTATATAAACAAAATTGATATTAATTTTATTATTAGTGTCACCTACATTAATTTAAACAATGAAGGTAGGAGTTAAAGCAAGGGGAGTAGGTGCACCAGCCAAAATAAAAGACACTGGACGCGGTTTCTTTCGTTTGGTAAGGCAGCGGCTAATAAGAACATCAGCCGATCTTCATCTCTGTCTGACCTCCGTCCTAGTGCTGCTCCTCTTACTCTGCTTTATAATAGTTGACGTCGCCACTCCTCGATCTCACTTTGCTGCTTTAATTTGTCACCTTCAATCTCTTCCTTGCCCTCGATCGCTTTTCTTCATTCAAAACTCTGGTACATAGCTTCTCATTCCCTTCCTTCCTTCATTTATATTTTTTTTCGAATTTCCATGTTAAGTCCATCATCTGTTTCTTTTGTGGATAGATTTTTCTAAAGGATATTGACCAGTGAATGGTGATGATTCTTTTATTTTTAATTTTCTTTAGATCTTGACTTATCTTTGCACGTTATACGGTTTAATCAAATTTAATTATTTTTTGTTGTTTTACCTTATTTTTATACATGTTTTTTGTTTTTAATCTAAACTAATTATTAGTTGATAAAAAAAAAAGAATCTAACTTTAATTTTACTTTATGGATACGTTTTGGTTTGAGTTGGAAGAGTGAGGAAAAAAATTGCTCTATTTAGTTATAAAAAGAATTACAGGAGAGGGAAAGTTTTTTACTTTAATTTTTTTTAATAAATGGAGGGAGGAGAGAGAAAAGAAGGAGAGGGAGAAAAATAAATTAAATGATATAACATCGTACCCCGATTGATCAAGGGTAAGAGGTTGTATCTTGCCAGATCTTAGCCGAATAATTCTAGCCCTCTATTTGAGAACATCATTCCATTTCCCTCCCTTTTGCTTCCCCCAAACCAAAACTACCATAGATTGTAAGTTCGTTTTTCAGTTTTAAAATGAGAAATTAATTAATACTTCAATAATGCAATTGTAAAGATTTGAACACTAAGACTCTGTTTAATTAGTATGATTATGATTGTTGGTTTTGATTTTTATAAATTTTGTAACTTTAAACAAAAAAAAAAAAGTCAATTATTTTTATGTGTTTTTGTAATATATTATCATATTTATTAGAGAAATAAGAACAAAAATAATTTTATACTATTAATCAAATTTATATTTTTTTTGTTATTAGTGTTAAAACTTGTTTTAAACGATTTTTAATTTTAATTTTTAATAGTTGCTAAATTTATAAAAACCCAAAACAAAAAATAAAAAACCACAACCATAGTAAATGGAATTTAAATCTCTTAAAAGGTTGGGGAAAACTCAGTCTACTTATCTACATAGTCATTTTTATATTAGAATTTAATGTATTTTTAAAACATTAAAATTTACTTCTTATGTCTTAAAATAACTGTTGTGACTTTATAGCATGATTAAAGTTAAAGAATAATTATAAAATTAAAGTATGAAAAAATTACCACAATACTAGTATTTTTCAAGCTTAAAAGTTGATAAAATAATAATTAATTTGAGATAAATTTTAAGTAAAAAAAGAATTATTTTGGTAGAACTCTAAAAGAAATTCTTAAACACTTTAAGAATCATAACGCTAAATCAATTTTGATAATTGCAAATTGATGGATTTTGTGGATACAAAGCCGGCAAATTGAATGATTGATTAATTCAAAGCGGAGTATTAATCGATCCATGATATATGGATGAAGATACTCTCCACCGCCACCGCAGAATGAATAATCGTAATGTGGATGCCCAGAACACATGTATCTGTAAATAAAAACAAATAAAAAATAATTAGGACTAAGTTATTGTCATACTTTAAATGATTAATGTCACATTTTTTTAATATAATTATTTATTATACTTTTAAATTACACTTTTTCTCAAAAATTTATATTTTTTTGTTTATTAATAAATTAAAAAATATAATAATCAATTAAGATAAAAAGATGTGATATTAATAATTGAGGTTGTGGCTATAATATCACCCAATAAATACGTTTAACCATACCATATATGCATGCCTAGGTGATATATAGAATCTTTTTCAACGTAACCCTTGTTGTTGATCTCTCTAATCTCTACCTGAACTCTCACTGCAGGTCCTTGCTCAATACTCAGTCCTCGTTGACTGCCTCACTGGTCTTCACTCCCACTTTGCTGCTTTGTCACTTTCAGCCTCGTCCTTCATTCAGAATTGTGGTACATGGCTTCTCATAACCTTCTCTGTCACTGTCTCTGTTTATTTATATATATATATATATATGTTTATTTATTTAAACAATGGTTGATATACTCCGATTTAATATATTATATAACATATTAATTAAAAAATTATTATTTTTTGACATAAAATTAAAAATAAATAAATTTAAAAATGTAATTATATAGAAATTGATTGAATTAGATATATTTATATTATATTTTAATAATTAAATTAGATAAATATTAAAAAGTATATTAAATTGAAAAGTGTACCAATTACTTTTTTTTTTTATGAATACATGATCAGCAAATTGAATGATGGATTAATTAACAAAACGGAGTAGTAATTAATCCACGATAAAGAAATTGGCTAAATATTAAAGCATGTATAATGGATTATCTTATTATAAGATTAAATATATATTAAAAAATATAAATTTTTTAATGGAATGATTATTGATGTTAAATCAACTTGAAAGTTGATATACATAATATATATTAATGTAATATTAAATTTAATAATTAATTTTTGAAAATATTCATTTGGGGTGGTGTTTTTTAAGTTGGGATTTTATTTTTTTATGATAATCAGGATTAATATACACTTTTTTTATAATACAATACATAATTTTAAATATAGTTACTATATATATAAAAAATAAAAACTAAAAATTAAAAATTAAAAATTAAGACTACACTAAACGGAACATTAAAAAAACAACATTGTAGTTTTATTAAAAGGCATAAAAACATTGTAGCTCTATTTTAGTTTCTTTTTTTTAAAAAAAAAAAAACTTTAAAATTTAGAAAGAAGAAAGAGAAAGTCAAATGGGCCCAGGCAAGTCTCAAACAACAATTTCAACTTTTCAAGAATCAGGGTCCGCGCCTACTTGGGCCCGAGGGAAAGGGGGAGCGGAGGATGGAGGATAAATTTCTA